CAGCTCAGTGCAGCCTGGAATTCCTGGGCTCAAGCGACCCTCTTCCCTCAGCCTCCTGAGTACCTGGGGCCACAGGTGTGCCACCACACCTAACTAATGTTAAAAAGTTGTTTTCTGAAGACAGTGTCTTGGTATGTTACCCAGACCGGTCTCACACGCCTGGCCTCAGGCGATTGTCTGTCTTGCCTTGGCCTCCCAGAGTGCTGGGACTACAAGCCTGAGCCCCAGTGCTCGGCTGACCAGGGAGGGTTCCTGTGATTAGTGAGGCTTATCCTATTTTCCAGTCTCTTATTTTCTTTGCCCATCTTCAGGTCGGAGTAAGGGTTATGTAGTTAAACAGAACGGTGCTGGGCGAAAAGCCAAGCCTGGACACAGGACATTCCTCTCCTAAAAACTGGAAACCACACCGACGCCCACACTTCTGCCCTGCCAACTCTGCCTGGCACGGGACAGAGGGGTGCTGGTGGCCTGGGAGGACTCTCACGTGCCTCCTGGTGTCCCCGCCCCCACCCGGCCATGGAGGAGCGTCTCAGGAGCCTCCAGAGTGGAAAGACACGTGGAAGGTCCCAGTCCATCACTGCACTTCCCCTCCGCAGATGCGATCTTTCACAACAAACCTCCAAACCCTAGCCAGCTGCCTTCGGGCCTGGGCCTCCCCGGCGGCACACGCTCTTTCAGTCTGTGAAGTTGCTTTTCCCCGTGGGGAGTGGTAGGGGTGAAGGGGCTGTGAGAAAGACGGAGCCGCGCTCTGGTTCAAGTCGTGCCTGCCAGTGGCAGGTTCCGTACGGGAGACTACCTCAGAGCTCCCAGCACACATGGCTGGGTATCCGCACGAAAAGAATTAACTCCCAGGCCGGGTGCAGTGGCTCATGCCTGTAACCCCAGCACTTGGGGAGGCCGAAGCAGGCAGATCAACCTGAGGTCAGGAGTTCGAGACCAGCCTGACTAAAAGGGTGAAACCCCATCTCTACTAAAAAATACAAAAATTAGTGGGGCGTAGTGGCGGATGCCTGTGATCCTAGCTACTTAGGAGGCTGAGGCCCGAGAATCGCTTGAACCCGGGAGGCGGAGGTTGCAGTGAGCTGAGATCGCGCCATGCACTCCAGCCTGGGGAACAGAGCGAGACTGTTTCAAAAAAAATTAAAATTAAAAAATACAGAAATTAGCTGGCGGTAGTGGTGGATGCCTATAATCTCAGCTACTCAGGGGACTGAGGCAGGTGAATCACTTGAACCTGGGAGGTGGAGGTTTCAGTAAGCGGAGATCACACCACTGCACTCAAGCCTGGGGAACAGAGCAAGACTCTGTCTCGAAGAAAAAAAATAATAAATTAGCTCCCATATATGACAAAGAACACTGTTAGCTGCTGTCAATGAACAAAAGCAAAAACAGGATTTTTTTAAAGAGGGAGGAGAGAAAGAGTAGTCCAGGAAGAGTAATTTCGGTTTTTACATTTTTTTTAGCCAACAGGTGGGCGGCTGGGCAAGGGGCCCCGAGGCAGTGTGCCTTGAGCAGGCTGGCGGGGTCATGGGAGGCAGCACTTTCCTTCTGGATCCTCTGGGAAGCCTGGAGAGCTCAGCCACGCAGTCTCTCAGAGTCCCTTTCTTCGGCCACAGCCCCTCACCGGGTGGGTCCTCAGCATCCCTCCGGAGAATGGCTCCCAGTAACTCCCTCCTGGGGTGATGACCGTGAACAGTACACGTTCCAATATTGCTCCACATCAGAACACTGCAGGCTTCTGCTATGACTCTTGTTTCAGAAACACTAGTTTGTCCCAATGCAATTGGCAGAATAGGGAACAATTGGAGCAAAGCGTAAATTTTGCAATGATTTATGAGCAATTTCATTTTCGGTGAAAGAAGAAATCTGTACCCGGCTGAATCAAGCCCCACAGGAATACGAAAAACCCTGCACGTGTATGTTCCTCAGGAATTTAGTTCAGGCTGGGCAAACATGGCCCGAGCTTTGTTTAGGGGCCAGGCACTGTGCTGGCCATGAAGGCCTGGGCCATGGGGGTGGATACACCCAGGACAAAACCTGCACCTGGTGGGCTGGGCTCGCTGTGGCCCCTGCGCCTGGTGGGCTGGGCTCGCTGTGGCTCTCAGCTGTCGGGAGACAAGTCTTCATTGGTTCCCCACATTTCTGCAAATCTCGGGAGCAGCTGTACTGACGGCCTTTTGCTCTGGACTCTCTGGTCAAGGGCGTTTATCCAGCGAAAGGCTTGGCGGATGGCGACAGCGTCTCCCTCTGGGGCAGAAGGAGATCTGCTTGCCGTTCTGTGGAATGAAGACGTCTCCCACCAGGAGAAAGAAAGGTTGGGCAGGTTTGCCTCGCAGCCCCTGCTGAGAGACCACCTCGGCGGTGAGGCAAGCCCCCCACATCACTCAAGCCACGTAGCTGCCTCTGCGCGGCCCCGTGGGGTTTGAGGAGCGAAGGGCACTGAGGTGAAGAGGAAGTTCATTCGAACTGAACGCATGTGCCGTGAGTGCTGGAGCCCTCGGCCCTGGCCCGGGGTATCTTGTCTTCTGCCAGCGTCCACGCAACCGTGGCAGGTTCGCTTGAGAGCTAGCAGGCGGGGAAAGCTCGGGCCTTCCCAGATCTTGATAACAGGAGGTGGACGGTGAAGCGATGGTGTTCAGGCTGACCCAGGAGGGAGCTGCAGGGGAGGCGAGGCTGGGCCCCAGGCTCCCATAGGTCTGTGCAGGAAAACCCAGGGCAGGAAGGCAGGTAAGGAAGTCAAGGTTTGCCCGGCTTAGAAACAGCCCCGACAACTCCCCGAGCAAGAGTCTCCTCTTCTCGGAAGAAGGAAACCTTGAGGAGGAATCCCTGGAGCAATGTGAGGAGGGGCCTCCTCTGGGCAAGCAGGTGCCTCCAGGGCTTCCTGAGGGGCAGGAAGGTGACAGCGAGCCTGGCAAGGCAGGGCTTGATCTCGAGAGGAATCTCTGGGGGCCAGAGGGAAGCTGGAAGTGTCTGGCCAAGGGCCAAGGCTGCTCCTGCAGAAGCCCCTCTCCCGGGACAAGAACTTGCCCTTCTGCTTCCTACTCACCTCGCTCATTCCCCATCAACTCAAGGTCCCCATTTCAAGTAGAAAACAGCTGTCCCCAGAAAACCCCCAAACACAAGAGCCTCTGCACAGCTCCTCCATACCCACCACCCAGCCCGCGAGATGGGGGCCCTGCACTCTTCTCAGGAACATTCCTCTTTCCCAAGGCCGCCCTAGCAGCACCTGGACTCCAGCCACGTTCCCAAAGGACTCCAGCCACGTACCCAAAGGACTCCAGCCACGTTCCCAAAGGACTCCAGCCACGTTCCCAAAGGACTCCAGCCACGTTCCCAAAGGACTCCAGACACGTTCCCTGGAATTCTGGTGAGTCAGCACCAGCACGTGTCACCGTGCTCACAGCGCCGTGCAGGGTGGCTCACTGAACATGCGCCCTGCCAAAGGGACCCTGGTTTCACAGCTTCATTTATTCTTGTTACTGTGCCCTCCATGCCCTGGCCTGGGCTGAGTTCACGGCTGCAAGCTCCTGTCTGCCTCATGGAGGCAGGTGTGGCCCGCACCACCTGGACCTCTGCTTTTCTGCTTTCTCTACTTTTCTGTGGCCCTCCTGGGCCGAGGAGAGGATGGTCTCAGCATGGGCCTGATGAAGCCCAGCTGGGGGCTCCTTGGGCCACCCTCTGCCCAGGAAAACCATCTTCCCATTCCCTGGGGGCTCCTGGGGCCGCCCTCTGCCCAGGACAACCATCTTCCCGTTCCCTGGGGGCTCCTGGGGCCACCCTCTGCCCAGGACAACTATCTTCCGGTTCGCGGGGGGCTCTGCGCTCTCCATGGTTTCTGAGTCCCAGGTCTGGCCCGCACTCCTAGACCCCGCTGTACACTCGCTCAGCACTTCCCTCCAGCCCTCCCCACCTCCTACTCGCCTTCTTCACCCTCTGTCGGCATCTGATGAAGGACCATACCTCGGGTCCTGAGAAGGGTAAAGGAAGTCACTGCTTTTAAATGCATTGATCATTTTATGTAGAAACACAGACTCATAGACACAGATAAAAACACGTGAGTTTTCGTTTTGCCTCCTGCTTCTGCAGAGGCTTGAATCAAAGAGCAAGAATTTGGGTTTCATGTTTCTAATACCTTAGGCAAAGTACAGTGATCTTTACTCTGGCAGCATAGGAGGTGGGGTGTCTTTCCCACACCAGGTTCCTCTGAAAGCTGGGTTTATGGGCTGAATGTCAACATCTTGTTTCTTTGGAGAGCCGCACTCAGGCCCCTCTGCTGGTTAGGGCCGGTCTCCCGGCAGAGGGGCCAGAGTAACTGAGGGTAGGTGGTCTCATTGTCATCACGTGACCAGGGGTTTGGGGGTTAGTGGCCCATGCAACGTTAAAGGGCATCAGACATTCAGGGACTCCCCAGGCAATGACGGCTTATGAATGTCTTCAAAGCATTTTTTTTGAAAGTGAATCTCAGCCGGGGCAGTGGCTCACACCTGTAATCCTAGTACTTTGAGAGGCCAAGGCGGCTGAATCACTTGAGGTCAGGAGTTTGAGATCAGCCTGGCCAACATGGTGAAACCTCACCTCTACTAAAAATGCAAAAATGAGCTGGGTGTGGTGGCGCCTGCCTGTAACTTCAGGTACTCGAGAGGCTGAGGCAGGAGAATTGCTTGAACCCAGGAGGCAGAGAGATTGTTCCACTGCACTCCAGCCTGGGCAACAGAGCAAGACTCTATCTCAAAAAATTAAAAATAAATAAATAAATAAAAAGACCAGCCTAGGCAACAAAGTGAGATCCTATCTCTATAAGAAATAAAATAATTGTTTTTAAAAAGTGAATCTCACACTTAGATAAGGCTAATACAGTAACTGTGTTGTATGTAATAAATGCTATGATATAACATCACAATATATTGATCATGAGGTACTAGGTATCAATTACTATCATGTAGATATTGGAGCCCACGTTTAACTCTTCCCACGCAGTCAGCCTGCATGTGGGTCTGCAGGCTTTGACAACCTGGAGAGCATCGGAGTATTTGGAAAGCCCTCCAACCCAGGACCCTGCTTCTTTGCCCTGATGTGTCACGCTCGGCAGTGGCTGATTCAACCTCATTGCTTCTGCTTCTGAAAACCGCATTCCCTCAAACAGGCTTGTCTCCTCATCTGGAAACCGCAGGGCTTGAAGAACTTACCACCTTCGAGAACTGCTGCATGAAACAACTCACCTGTGAGAAACACCAGCTCACCTGATGCAGCCAGTTTGCGAGGACCCTTGAGGGGACAGCAGCCTCCTGAGCCTTGTGGCCAGACCAACCCCCTCACTCCGTCTCCCTTCCAGAATCACTCACTCAGCCAGAATCAGTGACCTGGCCTTCCACCCAGAACAACCCCAAGACTCTCCTTCCAAATAGTTTGTTTCTCTTCCCATGTCCACGTTCCCGGGCGGAGGCGGGGGAGGGAAGAACTAACATTTGCTGAGAACCCATGATGCACTAAGCTAATAGGAATTGCATCCCCTCTCCCAGCTGTGCAGATGTGGAGACTGAGGCTCAGCTAGGAAGGGCTTCCTCCCCGCAGTAACTCCAAAGCTCCTGCCCTTCCCCCAGCACCCACCCTGCCTCCTACAGCTCAGCAGCAGCCCCTGTCACACCTGCTCCTCCAGCAGGACCAGGGGAACCAGGTGAGACGCTGCCCAAAGGCTCGCCTCCTGGGCCTCGCCAGATCCTGGCAGCCTATGCTGCCCCTGGCCCCTTGGAAGCAAAACCGTCTCCGGATCCCGGAAGCTGAGCTTTCATTTCATGGCAATGTCCATGCAGCCTTATTCATCATCATCCTCCTGCCCCCTCCTCCAGCTCCAGGAAGTATGCGTGAGAACTGGGGGCAGAGGAGTGAGAACATTCCAGGTGCACCTGCGGAAGCAGGTTCAAGCGGGTGGGGCTTGGGAAGAAGTCCCTTTTCCGCTAAAGGGAGAGTCTGGCATGGTCCGGGCTGAAGAAGTGTCCAGGTCTAGTTCCTCCCCACCTGGAGGGCATGCGGGGGTCACAGGCAGGTGAGGAGCGGGCGGACACACCTGTCCGTGGAATGCTTGAGGTGGAGGTGGGGTACATCTATTTTTAGATATACTGTCCTCTCTCCCTCCCCCCTCCCACCCTTACCCTCTTCTCTGGTTACAGAAGGAAACTAGGGAGTGTGATGTCTTCCAGTCGGTAGCAAGTTCACCTTTAAGAGAGCAGGGCTGAGATCATGGAGGCAGGTGTGGCCAGCACTGCCTGGGACCTGATCTCCTGCCCTGTGGGCAGAGGAGCTGTGGTCTCAACGTGGGCCTGATGAGGCGCAGCTGGGGGCTCCTGAGGCTGCCATCTGCCCAGCTTCATGACCTAGAGAGTTAGATTGAGGGATAGTCAAGCTGGTCCCTTGGTCACACAGCCTGGCTCCTGACTCAGTGGGACGAGAGCAGAGATTTGGGGCATTTCCAGGCCAGCCCAGGGCGACATGGGCTCACCTGCTGGTCCTCTCAAGTGGGTCATCATTCGGCAAGAAGCATCTGTTGTAATGACCCATACACCTACCCTTCCCCAAATTTTCTTCAAGGAGGTTGTACTGGGGTGAATAAGTGTCCCCCAAGATTCACGTCCCTCAGACATGATGAGGTTATTAGTTCAGTTAAACTGAGGCAGAGCCTAATCCAGTGACTGGCATCCTTGTAAGAGAAGACGGAGACACTCCCACAGGGGAGAAGGCCACGCGACGTGATGAGTGGGGAGGGGAGACGGCCTGTTTCCCCACCCACCTATAGGATCCTTAATCTACCCATCATTTTTAGGCCACCTGAGTAATTATTCCGTTCTGTTGTGGGCTTTGCCTCCACCATTAGACCATCAACATTAAAAGAGTAATTGACCACAAGTGTCCAAAAAAGTGCCCAACATTCTGGACAGAGCGAGCTCATGTTCATGGACTTTCGACTGTAGGATAAGGAGGGTCAGAGCTGCCGATCAGAACACACCTCCCCTGCTTCCAGGTCCAGGAAATGAGCCTAAACACAGAGGGCACTTTGGGTACAAAGCCTCTCATCTGGGCGTTACCTGTAGCAGGGGCGACCGCGAATAACTGTGTCCGAGTGAGTTCAGATACAATGGCTGTCGGTGGAATATCACGTGGCCTTTAGAGAAGTGCGAATACAGCCGGGCGCGGTGGCTCACGCCTGTAATCCCAGCACTTTGGGGGACTGAGGCGGGCAGATCACAAAGTCAGGAGTTCGAGACCAGCCTGACCAACATGGTGAAACCCTATCTCTACTAAAAATACAAAAAAATTAGCCAGGTGTGGTGGCACATGCCTGTAATCCCAGCTACTCGGGAGGCTGAGGCAGGAGAATTGCTTGAACCTGGGAGGCGGAGGTTGCAGTGAGCTGAGATCGTGCCATTGCACTCCAGCCTGGGTGACAGAGTGAGACTCCGTCTCAAAAAAGAGAAAAAAAGGCAGAGCAGCAAGGCCGAGAGGGTGTCGTGAGCGCTCCGCCCAGGTGACTGCCCTGCCTTTGCTTTGGGGCCAGGCAGAACAGAGGCTGAAGTTCCAGCTTTGCGGTTTATCGTGTGGCCCGGAAAACTGTGACTGGGGAGTCAGCACTCTCGTTTCCCTGGATCACCCAACCTGCCCGTGACTCAGGGCGACAGGCGCCCCGTGTTCATCTCCTGGAACCTCAGGTGCTCACGTGTGAGGTGGGCAGTGCTTCGGACTTCATGGGGTCCTGGCACTCCAGTGACCTACTTCATGCTGGGTCACCGACTAGAGAACCCACAGGCCTTTTCAGTCCAGACTTTGTAAGCATCCAGCTTCCTGCCCCATCTCAGCCTAGTTGTTCTACGTCGGACCAGATTGAACTTTATTCACAGCACAAGGCAAAAATGATACGGAGGTAAGCAATTTTAGGGGACCCGGAAAGCTAGGGTCTCCCGCTTGGGTAGCTTAGAAAGGGAACCTCCCTTGGAGATCCTGGCTTTGCTGCGCCAGCCCCAGGGGTCTGTTCCAGCCCAGCATGGGAAAAACTCGTGATCCTGTCCCCGCTCCAGTCTGCTCACACCACACCTCCACACAGAGCTGCTTCTGCCTCCCACGGAATATAACTCACGCCTGACTTCAGATTCATGCCCCCAGGCAGAGCCGGCAGTATGTGGGCCTGGGAGGTTTTCCAGCCACGTGGAACTAGAGAAGCCACTCATGTTGCTCCCCCCATTCACCCCACTCTGTCCCCATCAGATGCCTTGGGAAGGGAGAAGGAAGGACAAATGGGTGTCCTGTGAGCCAACCCAGAGGAGGGAGAATCATTTATCACAGAGACCGAGACGCAACCTCACTCTGGAAAATGGGCCAAGGGAGGGGAGCTGGAAGGCAGAAGACGTGGGCAGGGGAAGAGGTGAACAGGAGTACACACGCCCAAATCGCCAGGATCTCACGCTCCTAATCGGGATCCTGTAAAACTCAAAGGGGATGCAGGAAAGACCTGGGCCTGGAAATTCACTTCCCGACGCCCCCTCGTCCCTGGCTTGCCTCATTTGCATCTCCCACGTTCCTCCACAGGTGTCCTGGCACTCCCGGAACACCTCAGCACCTGTAAGGCATTATTATCCCCATTTCACAGATGAACGAGGAAAGCTCAGCTCGACGAGGCTGTGACTTTGTGACTTGACTCAGTGGCAGATATGGGATCGAGCACACCGGGAGTCTCGGTCGTCACTGCGGCCTCCGGAGACCGCTCTGCGCCTCTGGCCCTCCTTGCACTGGAAAGTGCTCAGCTGCCTGTGTTTCGGTCAATACAATGTCCAGCTCCTGGTTTGGTCTCACCTGGAATGCTTCTTTCTCCCCATAGATGGAAAATCGTAGTTTGAAAGCGTCACCAGACAAAACATACGGAAAGGTAATGGGGGACCATGAGCAAGAGCTGACAGAAAAATGATCATGAGCCAGGCGTGGTGGCTCATACCTGTAATCCCAGCATTGTGGGAGGCCGAGGGGGGCAGATTGCCTGAGATCAGGAGTTCGAGACCAGTCTGGCCAACATGGTGAAACCCCGTCTCTACTAAAAATACAAGAAACATGAGCCAGGCATGGTGGTGGGTGCCTGTAATCCCAGCTACTCGGGAGGCTGAGGCGGGGAATCGCTTGGCCCCCAGAGGCAGAGGTTGCGGTGAGCCAGATTGTGCCATTGCACTCCAACCTCAGTGACAGAGCAAGATGACATCTCCAAAACAAAACAGAGGCCACGCTGGCCTGGGTCTGCAAACTCCCTTCAGCAGTGCCCTCCTACCGCCCTGCCAGGTGCCCACAGGATGCGCCACACCCCTCTTTACGACTAGAGCAGGGTCAGCTCATCCATCAAGAGCTGGAGGGACGGACGGGGACCATGCACCTCTCCACAGTGTCCGCATTGTTCCGGCCCAGGCTTCGACCTCGGAAAGTGGTCACAGGACCTCCACGACCCTTGGAGACGGCACCACAGTGTCCGCTGGGGACTCTCACTGACGAGGCTGGCTCTTCCTGGGAATGCAGAAACCCTGAGTGCTCATCCTGGGTTCCACGGTGTCTGAGAGCCTAAGGTCCCTGCTCTGGGACCAGTCACTCCACAGACACCCCACATTCAGGAATCAAGTCTTGAGGAACCAGAAGCAGAGATTCACACTGGCAAAGAGGGGTGTAGGCGGACTCCCTGTTTGCTTTCAGAGAGCTACATTAACGGCTCTCTTTGCCTTTACAACCCTGCTTGGGGTCCCTGCCCCTCCTTGCCTGTGCCTCTGAGTTCCAACAGGTCAAACCGGGTGAGCAGAGCCCCTGGGTCTCCAGGAGCAGCTCCACTTCCTCGTCGGTGACAGCTGCTCCCTCCAACCACTGCCCAGGCCAGATCCCTCTGGCTACTCTCCCAGAGGGTCCCAGGCTCCCTGCACCCCAGCTTTGGCTCCCTGCACCCCGGCTTTGGCTCCCTGTCCTGGAAAGAACTCCGCTGTTTGGTTGGGGTCGACCATGTGTCTGCGCTGAGCAGATCTTCTAGGCACACCCCCTTCCTGCCCCTCACCTGAACCGTTCCGTTCCGGCTTCCCTGTTCCCCGGGGTCTCCTTAAATCTCACTCTCTCCCCCATTCATACACCCCCAATGTTGCTCCCTCTGGGGCCCTTTCTTCCCCATTCTCCCCAGCAGCCCAAATGTCTGGGGGGACGGGGCAGCCCCTGGGAGGAAGGAGAGGGCCCCGCAGGAGGGTGGCCCACCGTTTCCCGTGTGCCTGTTCCCACTCCCGTGTCGTCTCCTGCCCCTCCCCCCACTTGGCTCAGGCCGATGAGGAGCAGAGCAATGGGTGTATTGGTGTTTTCTTTCCTGGTGGGGAGTGGGGTGGGGCTGAGGAAAGAAAGGGTGACTGGCGTGGGGCCCCAGCCCTCTTTTGTCCTCTCCCCAGGTCCTCTGGCCCCTTCAGGGAAATGCACCTCGTTCTGGCCGCGGAGGGGACAGGCTCCTTCTGCTCGTCACACCACAGCTCCGGCCATGGGGCTTCCCTGCTGGAGGAGGGTCCCCTGGGTGTCCCTGAGTTGCCTGTGTCTCTGCCTCCTTCCGCACGTGGTCCTGGGTAAGTGACAGAGGGGGCAGGGGAGGCTGGCTGCTGGGACCCCATGGGGGAGCTGGGGGCTGTCAGAGAGAGAGGCCTGGAGAGAGAAGAGCAGAAAGGGAGACGGAGAAGAGGAAGAGAAGAGACAGGAAAAGAGGGAGAGAGAGATGAACAGGGCGAGATGGGGAGAAGGGGGAGACCCAGAGGGAGAGAAGAGGAAGAGAGGAGGGAGAGAGAGCGAAGGCGGGGGGAGAGAACGAAGTGGGGGGAGAGAGAACGAAGGAGGGGCGAGAGAACGAAAAGGGCAGGAGAGAGAACAAAGAGGGTGCGCGTCGGGGCTCACACCTGCAATCCCAGCATTTTGGGAGGCCGAGGCGGGTGTAGTCAGGAGGTCAGGAGTTCAAGACCAGCCTGGCCAACGTGGTGAAACCCCATCTTTACTAAAAATACAAAAATTAGCCGGGGGTGGTGACACACGTCTGTAGTCCCAGCTACTCGGGAGGCTGGGAGCATCTTTGCGGAATTTCTTGGGAGTGAGTGAGAAGGTGAATGCCCTTTGACGGCAGCAGGAGAAGCAAGGCTGGTGAAATGGGACGTTCCACCTTGAGGTTCTTCAGGACTTGGCTAAGCGCAAAGGGAACTACCGCCACCCCCCCACCCCAGCCCAGCCGCATGCCCCCGAGTGGATGCTCATCACGTGGTGAGGAGGTGGAGGCCAGAAGGAGCCACCACACACCCTCGCCCTGCGGTGGATGAAGGGGTCTCCATGGGAATCACGGCTCCCACAGGAAGGCTGGGGGTTGGGGTGCCAGGCAGGCGGCTTGGATTTAGGAGCCCCGGTGCCAAGTCCTTGCCATGAACTGTTCTGGCCCCTGTGACCAGGCCCTGCCCTGAGACTCCCCAGGCCCCTGGTCCCCAGTGTAAAAAAGCAGTGGTGAGCCAGGCAAGGTGCCTCACACCTGTAATCCCAGCACTTTGGGAGGCCAAGGCAGGCAGATCTCGATGTCAGGAGTTCAAGACCAGCCTGACCAACAAGGTGAAACCCCATCTCTACTAAAAATACTGAAAAATTAGCTGGTTGTGGTGACATGCACCTGTAATCCCAGCTACTTGGGAAGCTGAGGCAGGAGAATCTCGAACCCCGGAGGTGGAGGTTGCAGTGAGCCGAGATCGTGCCACTGCACTCCAGCCTGGATGACAGAATGGGACTCTGTCTCAAAAAAAAAGAAAGAAAAACAGTGGTGAATGGCTTGACCTCCTGACTCCTACGTTTTTGAGTTTCAGAATCCGTGATTTCAAGCTGACCCCAAATGTGTTAGGTGCCAGCTGGACACTCAGCCCCATGTGAGGGTCATCAAACTCCGCAGGAGCCAGGCAGCAGGGTCTGCAGCTAGGAGCCCAGAGGGGCAAGTCCTGGGGTGGGTGTGGAAAGCACAGGGCGGGGAAGGGGGTATGACCTGGAGAAGGTGTGAAGGACTCTAAATGTGCAAGGGCATCTCCGTGACAACCCGAAGAAGCTACAGGCAGGCCCCGGAGTGCGGAGTCCTTCGCGTTAAGGGGCCCAAGTGGAGCTGGGCCAGGGGCGGAGGTGGTGTGGCTGGGAGGTGGCACCTATACATCTGACGGGGCATTACCAGGTCCTTGGCAGGAAAAGCAGTCACCAAGGGTGGACGGGCAGCCCCCACCCCTCAGGGCAGCTTCTAGGGGATCGGCAGCCCCCACCCCTCAAGGCAGCTTCTGTAGACGGGCAGCCGCCGGCCCCGTCACGTCTGGCTCCCTGAGGCTGGCAGATGGTCTCCCTGTATTTAAGTCTCGGATCTGTTTGCAGGCTTGCTGGCAGGACCCTCACCCAGGCTGGGTCACACTGAAGCCCAAGGCAGAGGGAAAGCCCAGGGTTTCCACAAAGCAGCTGCCACAATGAGGGCTTCCTTAAGGAACAGCCCTGGCTCTCAAGGGTTAAAGGATCAGGCGCAGCAGGACAGAGGCTGGACAAGGACAGAAGGAACTTGGTGTCTACTGGTTGCTGGAGGCCGGAATGACTCAGAGGGAAGCCTGGCTGTCCTGATTCCACACCCCAGGCAAAGGCAGCATGGTTGAAATAAGCCTGGGTCTCCAATACTATCAGTGGCACAGTAACCCAGGGGCCACGGCCCCTGCAGCCACGGGGAGGTGACAGGACTGAGCAAGTGCAGAGCAGGGGAGGAGACGTGGCCACAGCGCACCTTGAGGGGAAGGGTTTCTAGGGGCTCCTCCTTGGAGAACCCCCAGTCTGTCTGCCAGTCTGGGAGAGGCCACCTCCACTTGCCACCAAGGACACCAAACTCTCCACAGACCCCTCTGCCCCTCCGGGAAACCCACTGTGCTCCAGGACACTGAGAAGGAAAGGATCCCTGGGCAAGAGGTCCCGCTAAGAAAATCAGCCAAATTCCGCCAAGGACCAGCAAGGAGCAAAGTGAGGAGCGGGGGCCGGACGGGGGAACCCAGCGGCGGACATCCCTTCGGCTCTGGAGTCTCAGGCTCTTCACCGGCAAGCTCAGCCCAAGAGGAAGGTTGTCATGAGAATGAAACGAGGCAGCATCTGGTGTGAAGTAGAAAAGCCGTAAGGGGCCGGGCGCGGCGGCTCACGTCTGTCATCTCAGCTCTTTGGGAGGCCAAGGCGGGCGGATCACCTGAGGTCAGGGGTTCGAGAGCAGCCTGGCCAATGTGGTGAAACCCCTCTCTACTAAAAATACAAAAATTAGCTGGGTGTGGTGTCAGGCGCTGTAATCCCAGCTGCTCAGGAGGTTGAGGCAGGAGAATCACTTGAACCCAGGAGGCAGCGGTTTCAGCCAGCAGAGATGGTGCCTCTGCACTCCAGCCTGGGATGAGAGTTAGGAATGGAGGCAGAGAGGGAGGGAGGGAAGAAAAAAGAAGGAAGGAGGAAAAATAGAAAGAAAGGAAAAGAAAAAAGGAAAGAGAAAAGCGAATCCATGCCATGAAGACGTGTTTGAGAGACAGGCCTGGGAAGATGGGGAAGGAGCGTGGTGGAACCCTGGTTGGCGTGGGCACTGGTGTGGGCGCAGGGTACATTCCTTCATCTAAGGATTCGTGTGCCTCTAAAAAGCCACCCCGTGCCTCCTGTGGGTGTATAAGGGCTGGCTAGGTGTATTCAGAATGTGGCTTACTGCATGAACTGACCCCCGAATGCCAGTCTTGGCCACGGAGCAGGGGCTCGCTGCAGCTGAGGGCACACTCCACTGCTCCCTGCCTGTCAACCCCTCCACGCCCTTGGTTCTGGGCTCAGCTATGGAGACAGAGCCTGGCCTGGCAACGTTTGGCATGCGAGTGATTTGTGTCTTCATTGCCAAGACAGGACAAGGAGTGGCTGGCCTGTTACATGTTCAAATGGGTGGTTTTGCTACGGCATCTGTTTTCTGGTTTCACGGTGCTGTTAAATGCTTAAAATCTGCACACAGTGTAGCTCCCAGAGTCACTCCTCCGAAGCCAGGAGGAGACCCGACAGCCTAACCCTCCCTCTCGATTCAACCTTTTACCTCAAATATACATCTTTCTATTAGGCTGAGCTCATGCCCCAGCGTGTTCCGAGAAATAGAGTCAAAATGAACTGGATCTGCTGGCACTTACAGAGGGTTTTGTTGTTGTTGTTTGCTTTTGGGGTTTGTGTGTGTGTTTGTTTTTTGAGTCATAGTCTCACTCTGTCACCCAGGCTGGAGTACAGTAGCATGATCTCAGCTCACTGCAGCCTCTGCCTCCCGGGTTCAAGTGATTCTCCTGCCTCAGCCTCCTGAGTAGCTGGGGTTACAGGCACCCGCCACCACGCCCGGCTAATTTTTGTATTTTTGGTAGAGATGGGGTTTTACCACGCTGGTCAGGCTGGTCTCAAACTCCTGGCCTCAAGTGATCTGCCCACCTCAGCCCCCAAAGTGCTGGGATTACAGGCGTGAATCATGGCATCCGGGCCTGCTTCACAGAGGTTTAAATACTTTTTCACCCTTTTCCGTGAGACTCTGAAGAGGCCTCAGGAACGGGCATTTGTGTTGTACACGAGGCCCTGCCACGGCAGCCCTGCTCAGAGGAAGGGCACTGGCCCGTGTTGTAGGCAGCTCCAGCCCCATGTGTGCACATTTAAGGACCAAAGAGACATCTCCTCTCTGAATAGATAACCCCTACCCTGCCCAGGTCGCACCGCAGTTTGGGTTCCAAAGTCCGTTGCCAGTGGGTTTGGGGGAATTTGGAACAAGAAAGAGCCTAGACTTTAGAGTTATGCGTTCACTTGCAGAATGTCTACTCATGCCAGCTGCTCTGGACACGAAGATGACTAAGACAAGGTCCCTGCTTTTCAAAGCTCTCTAAGTTAAGTGACTTGTTTAAGGTCATAGAACCCATCAGTGAGGCAGCCGGGACTAGAATCCAGTCTCCTGACTCCCTGTAGCCATCTTCAAACTGCCGGGCCCACCAATGGAAGGAAGAACAGAAGCACTCACACACCCTGCTGAGACAGTCATTCATTCATTCACTCATTCTTTCATACATACATTTATTAAACAACCACTTAGGAAATGCCTACCTTGAGTTCCTGGCATTGTTCTAGGGCAGTGCTGGATGTGCACAGTGAAGAATGAAACAGACGTGGCCCAGTCTCTCGGCGCTGAAATCCTGGTGCAGACAGACATTAAGTAATTGCAGAAATGTTCCCAACTGCGTATGTGTAAATGCAACGTGGAAAAGCACAGGAGGTGGCAGCTGCATTTGGACTAGAGAGGAGGGGCTGCATGTGGATGGACGAGTCAGCAAGGCCTCTGTGAGGTGCTGTGCCAGCGAGTGAGGCTGAGGCTGAGGAGAGCCAGGTGGAGAAGGTGCCAGGTGGAAAAGGTGCCAGGCCTGAGCAGGCGGACGAGGTGCACACGGAGAGGCAGGGAAGAGACAGGCAGGTGTGAGATTGTACAGGGCCTTGCAAGCTGTGGAATAGATTATGGAGTTTATTCTATTTTATTTATGTTTTTGAGACAGAGTCTCACTGT